ATTACGAAGTTTTGAAAAAAAAACATGAAACTAGACATTGACCAAGTTGTTTTGATTATATGATACTTGTAAACATTTACTTCCTTTCAGAGTCAATCTGCTTACATGTTCCAAAATTTGATTGAAATAGTGAAGACATCAACGGCATGTGAATCAGTAATCATAAACACATTTGAAGTTTATTTTTTTTTTGTATTGAATTTCATTTATCGACTTGTTTGACATAATCTATTAAGCACATTATTTATCCAGAGCATTAGAGTTCTTACCGAAAATAAAAGTCATATTTGAAATTATCTAAAAGTAGTACAATGATAGAGAAAAATATTATGAAGTTTTACTTCGTCCAAAAAGCTCTTCAAGACAAAAGAAGAAACCAAAGTACAATTTTGAATTTCTAAGGTATCAATTATACACAAAAAAAAACTAAACCAATACGCTTATTTTTTTTACACTCTTCTCGACGATGTTTATAATTGAATGAAATGATGCATCAATTTTCCATTGCGAAGTTATCTTATTTTATTCCTCCCTGTTCATTAGTCATCTCATGGCAATGATAATATACTAGACTAAAGCCTTTTTTTTTCATTCCTGAACTATTTTGTTTTTATTCTTTTTCTCTTCTTTTAACTAATTAATGGATAGACATATTCGTCTACATATAAATAAACCAACCAATCACTTGTGAATTTCTCTTCCAAAAATCTCAAAAAGTTTGCAAGAACTTGAACAAAGTCTTACAATGATCCTGTTTAACTAAGAAAAATCCTGCAAAAAGGAATATTAAGTTTCGAGACAGGATTCTGAGTAAAAGTTTAGAAGAAATTTGAGATTCAAAACCCTGATAGGGTTCCTCTTCCAGGTCTTCTCGAGGAATGAGCAGGATCGCGAATAGCCAAATCGTTTTGTAAATAAAAATAGATGAGTACACATCTTGTGTGAAAATTCATGGCAAATTCTGATTTCAACAGGTTTTTTTTTCTTTCTTCTCAATTGAGAGTTCAGTATCATACAAAGACCATAAAGTATAGTGGACGGTTGTTATTATTGTCAAGATTTATGCTTTTCAAATAAAGAATCAATTACTTGTGGCATAGGAGACAAAAAAAAGTACTTTTTGCAACTATGTTCTCACTCTATCGTGAGGAAAAATTAAATAATGTTGTGATCATTAGTTCGTTTGAACAATGCCACACAACGGATATGATATTCTTCTCTGATAATCTATATCCAGCTGCAAAATTAGTTTAGTTTTTGTATTTAATCAAAGACATCGTTTTGACAATACATGACAGCTATTATCTCCAATATAAAAATTCGATTATTTCCCTATGATTACTTAAAAACAACGTATGGAAAAGTAACATATACTTAACTAGTACAATGAACTCTCTAACAACGCTTAGTAACTTTTATTAAATAGAAAGTCGATTGATTCAATTATATCCATGCATAGTCATAACAATTTTGGATAAGCAAGTGACCAATACATTATTAATTTCAATTAACGATCTTCTATATGACCAAAACTTGGAAAAATAGCTGCAACAGTTGATCTTATCCCTGTTGCTGCTGAAATGCATTCTAATTATTTCAAAAAAAAATAAAGTTCTCACTTCAACATCATGATTTTGTGGAGTGAATTGAGAACAATTGGAAATGACTCTTCAATCTTTAGATCGCCGCGACACAAAATAGTACCTTGTATGGTGTGTCTCGAAAGTACATTGTTTTCTTTTACATAAGTATCAAAAATGAACCCACTTCGTTGTGGAAGTTTTGTTAATTGCTATCTTATGTGACTGTGACAATATTTACGCATTAAGAAATCTAAAAATATGAAGTCTAATAAAAAAAAATCAATTTTTGAAGCTGATTTTGCCTTCCTATCTACTATAGTAGATTCATACAAATTGAGAAGCCTTTCAGTTGTGTTAAATAATGATTTCAGATAAAAGAACGTGACAAAATAAAATAGAAATTGTGACTATTAGAAACTTGTACAGATATATGAGTTTCGCATTCATGGAGTTGCACTAACAAATTTTTTCTCGAAAGAACTAGTTGGTTCATTGATACATTTAAACAAACGGACGTTCTGCCGGTTTAGCCAAGCTTGGTATGACTTGTTAAGCTATAGATTCTTGAATCGATTCATATATGCAGGCATGATGGTACATATACGATTAACGAAAATGTATAAGTAAATGATAATACCAATTGTATTTGTATTTGCACATCTTCGTTTATAAAATATCACACATATCAAAGATAAGATACGTTTCTAAATTTTCAATGAAAAGATTAATCATATTGGAAGTGTTTATGTGAATATTAAAATGTTCACTCCTAATGTTGGTTGTAAAAACTACAGATTTTATTTATAATAACGATCAATCAACGGTGTATTAGTAAAGTACGCTCTGAGCACAGTTTTTTTTTTGGAACTTATACAAGTCGATACAATTTAAATTTCTGAGTGTAATGGACGTTACTCTGAGTCGAAAAAGCTTAAACAAATAAATATGTGGAAAAATAACGTTAGATAAAATTATCGTTAATATTTGATGACTGTAGTCAGTTGAAAATATGTATCAGAGCTATATTTGAATTCATTTTTCAAACATTGGTTTAGGTTCCGAGCTTTTTTTTTGCCAATACTCAAATCAATAATATTATATTTAGACATTGAAAAAATTAGTTCAAGACCATCAAATGTTCGTTCGAGCAGAAAATAGAATAAGCAATAACATATACCAAAATTACCGTCATTAACTGTTCTCTCATGATGCGATTTTGATGAATCAATGAATTGGTGTCAATAATCTTTTATTAATAAAGATTTATATATTTTAAATAATGCTGTCAGACATGCATAATCACTTATATGTAAGATCAACATCAAGATTTTTCCTTGAATGATTTTCATTGATTAAACAAAAATGATTTTGTACAAACTGTTGTAAATCAAAAATTACATTAACAAAAATAGAAATATTCTATTGAATGACTTGTTTAAAGTAGATATTGTTATGACATTCTCTGACTAATAGAATCATACTGTGACATTGAATAATAATAATTGATTGATCTCTTCTTTTGTATTTGTTGGTATGATTATTACATAACTGTAATCTTTTACAATAACGAATTGACTTTTTTATGTAATTATTTTTTGTTACATTGTGTCAAGAAATAGAACAATTGCCTTATTTCGTAAGAATACGTAAACCTATCAGAATTTGAAAAGTTAAAATTCTATCAAATTTTCGCTTTCTTTTCAAAAGTACTTGAACTTAATCAATTTCAAGGTTTCATATGCTACATCAATTATTGATAGAATACGAATTTTTAACATATAGAATTGATTTTTTTTTGAATCAATATACTTCAATATTTTTCAAACTGAACTACACTAATACCATTTATGAATTACCACTTTCCTTTATATGCATAGGAGAGTATATATAAACATAATCATTTTAAGGTAAATGAATGTTATATGACTAAAAAATTCAATTCGATAAAAAAAAAACGTTATGATTTGACGCGATGTATTCATGACTTTTTTATGCTTACATACTTTTTTCGGTTTAAAGTTCGTACTGTTGAATAATAAATATAAATATGAGAACTAATTCGTTTTTTATTTTCAAATTATTAAAGCCTGGTAAAGTTATCATATTCTATGTTAATCATGTATAAATATCAAGTTTCTCTTAACGATAGGAAGCTCTTTTATTTGAATGTTTACATTGGATAGAAAAATAGAATTCAAAATTAATGTTAGTATTGTCTGAACAGAACAATACATGCTTTTGTTCAATCATTTCGACTGGTACCTAATATCGAGTATAGCGTTATTTATAGGCTTCCCCATCATAAATAAGTTCTTAATAAAAGTTAGAATACAAACAACTGTTTAATGTAAAGCTTCTACTATTGTAAAAGATTTATAAATGATATATGCTTATATCATATAATACACTCATAAGTAGTGAGACGAATATCTCTTCATTCATATGATACCTTATCATGTAACACCTTTAATATTCAACTTATAAATTAGATATTTTATTTCAATATTATTTTTATAATCAAATCGTATTTGTTTTTGCAATTAAATATTCATTGATCTCTTATATGAAACTATCGATTTCTCTAATATATTCATATTAAGTCATTAGTATAAATTGAGCACTACAATCTCCAGTTTTTGTTCAATAATGCTGATCGATTGTTGAATATAGACCATATTACGTAAAAGACTATGAACTTTAAGTATGTTTCATAATAATCGGTTCACTTTGTGTGTATCTTGAATTATTTCTTTGTTGTAAATACATGGCTGCAATAAATAATCAATACATTTGATTTCGAACTGAAATTTTGCTTATTTCGAATAACTCAGATTTTATAACATTGATACAGAAACATCTGGTATATTAGTTATAAAGATGATTGCAGTAAAGTAAAACATTGCAGTCATAATTATAATACAAGATATTCTTAATCAATTAAAAACATTCATGAGTAATTATAATAATAATAGGATATAAAAAGTATATCTGAATATGTAATTTTCTATTCAATATGTAGTACATCAGCTATTATTATCTTTACGTTCTCAGGGTCAAACATTATTTTATCATCATTTATCGATATCATTATTTTTAATAATCAATGTATTCATTCCATACATTAACATATCAATATCAATAACTCTTATTTTCTTATTATCGAAAGTTTAAAACATCTTTTTCCCTTATTTTTTTTTCTTGTATAGTTTTGTTTTTATTTATCTATATGTGCAATGAGTGTTACAGAAATAGGAAAACAAATGAATGCGCACACAGCATTAACAAATATCATAAGCAACTGTGCTGTCACTGAGTAAAAAAAACAAGGAAAAGAAAAGCACACCGGGCAGACATATATAAATATGCGCACTCAAGAAAAAAACAAACTTATATACACTTCACAAATGCCACAAGATATTAATGTTCTTTATTCATTGAATGATGACGACTAATAGATGAATTATAAGTCACTGTTAAATTATTTAAACTTCGACTAAGACCTTTTCGTATAGCTGAAGCTGGTGTTGTTGGACATGTACGAAAATCTAACGGAGAACTATTGAATTCATCATTATCATCAGATATTAAATGTTCAATATCCATATTAGCAAATATTGCTAATGGGAAATCTTTATTAATTTCATTATCACTAATTTCTGTATCATCGTCATCTAACATATGTGTTGTAGATGATTCTTCAAAATGATGTCTTAAAACACGCATCATATGAACTGTTGGATCGCCATGTAAATCAAATGTAAATGTTCCATGTGGTAATACTGGTGGATCATCAAGATCAGTTTCAATTAAAAATGGTTCACCAATAGGAAAATTAGCTGCTGCATGTGCACGACGACGAGCACGTGTATGTCGAACAAGTTTATATATTCCAAATGGTGGTAAAACAGTTACAGCTGCAGTTACAACACCAGCTACAATTATAGGTGAAGCAACAACAACACCGGTTGCAATCATACCACGTATTGTACGTCGAAGCCATGGTTTTTCAGGATAAAAATTATATGGACATCCAAACATACTATTAAGAAAACAACAAATGTTTAAAGTTTATTATTACTATTTAAAAAAAACAGAACTTCAAACCTGAATCTGTTACTATGTTGACCAATAAACGGAATTTGATAATAACGTCTACCACATAAATAACAAAATTCACATGAACATGATTGGCATGTCATATGAGGACAACCTATTTAAAAAAAATATTATATAATTAAATAAACATTATAAACAAGAAAAAGAAGACATGCCTCCAGCACGTTGTATAAGTGAAGAACATTTTGGACATTTTCTTGCATTCCATTGTTCTTCATTTTTTTGATTGATCCATTTTAATAAAAGTTTATCACCTTTAATAAATTGTTTACATGTCATATTTTCATGCCAAGGTGCTGAACAACGAAAACACCAAACAAGTGAACATTCAGAACATTGAACTTGTTTTGGAATTTTTTTATTATTGTCTTTTTTCCATTTTTTAGTTTTTTCTAATGGAATAGATTTTATTGTATCCAATGAATAGAGATGACAACAACGAGGACCTACAGAAAAATAATTATACCATAATTAATAGAAATTTAAACAAAATGAGAAAAAAAAAGACTTTTTTTTTTTTCTTACATGTCTTAGCACGCGGATTTTGATTAACAGCTAAGTATAATTTAAGATAACGTTCATGCAATGGAGGATCATATCGAACAAAATTTACTATTGATTCCCTTGTTAAATATTTGTTACATTCATTAGCTACACAAGGGATTTTAATTCGACCATCATTTATTATAGATGATATGTGTGCACGCCAACAACTATTACAACAAAGGAAATAACAACATGGAGATACTTGTAATACTGCTGGTTCCAAACAAATTGGACAAGGTGAACTAACATAATTTGGTGGTGTTGGAAATGATTGTGGATAGAGTGAATCGTCAATGAGTGTTTCATCGTCATCATCGTCAAACGATTCATTATCACCCTCACTTACAGTAGCAGTCTTTTCAACATCTGTCAGTTGTTCTTGTGGCTTATCGTTATCATTGGGTAGACGACCTTCATCAATAGAAGTAGTAGTAATCTCAACATTATTAGATAGTACTGTCGTATTAGTTAGTGACTGTCGACGACGAATTGATTGTGCAATAGAACCTGTCTCAATACAATAAATTGTTAGTGAGCCTGTCGATGATGCTGATGACAGTGTCGTATTTGTTGATGGTGCTGATGTCATAGCACTAACATTAAGTTTGTTTGACAGTGAACGACGAATAAGATAATTGACATCAGGAGTGTCCGATGAATTCAATTCTTTATTTACATGTAATGCGGACGGAATATCAGTTGAGCTAGATAAGCAATGCTCAGCCATCTAAAATAAGAATCGATTGCGTCTTTTTTATCCTTGTAAGAGAAATAAAAAATCAATGATATATACGTAAAAAAAAAACCGACTAATGTTGCTAAAAAAAGCTCAGTTTATCTATATGATACTAAATAACATATGAGAAGGAAAAAAAACTGGACGAAAATATTGCAATCGATGATAAAGTGAAACGTCATCAATGCTGATAGTAAATAGTAAATAGATAAAACTCATCGACGTAAGTCATCAATTTCGTTCACTCACTTCTCTTCTATTTTTTTTCTTTCGTCTTTTTTCTTTTTTTTTGTACATATATTCTCATGTATGATGACGAAGAGTAGTGAACATGCTTGCGCTTACTTGTAAAGGTTTCTATCTTTCTCTCTCATTTTTTATTCTCCTTAGTAAGATTGTGTGTGTGTGTGCGTGTCTTTTCTTTTTTTTTCTTTCTTTCACGGTGTATATGTTGACGACATCCAACACAATTTGTTATTCGCTTCGACTTGACATCGCTTGCAAAAACGAGAGAAAAAGAGAGTATAGTCGTCATTTTCTTTTCTTCTTTCTGTTTAATTACGCTTACTTCTCCCAAAAAAAGTGTCCCGATATGGTTATGTGGGGCGTAGGCTTTCGCTTTGTCAGAACAGAGAAAGGCAAGCAAAAGAAAAAAAGAAGAAGAAATCTAGCTAAATGCCCTACATCACACAAATGGCGACAAAAGAAAAAAAAAACAAGGCAATATGATCGTCATCTTCAGAGAATAGTAAAAAAAAGAACAAAAAAAAAAAAAACTTATTTCAAAAAGTATTTACGTAGATTCTTACCGTACATGATGAGTTAAATATCATCATAATCAATGCTGACAAAATTATCAAAATTTGATATATTTATTTGCTTCTGATAAGTTACACGTATTATAATTATTTTATTGAATAGTTTTCTTCTTCTTTTGTCTGTTCTGTCAGAAGAGTTATGAAATATAATTGCTGGAAACATGTCCGATTGTCTGTATCGTATTATTGAGAATCTATTTTTAGAGGATAACTTACCCTTGACAAATTCATAACTATGCCAAGATTTTTTCTTTCAAATTATCATGCAGTTTAAAAATTTATAGCAAGATTAAGTAACAATGAAATTTTAATTTCATAATCTTATTGAAACAAAAAATCGAATAATCTAATATATTATCATTTATTCGAATAGTTTAATCAGATAGTTATTACATCAATTTTGTTTTATGTAATATGATACTACTGTTTTATTCATTAGAATTAAGAACATATTTTTTTTAGATTAAGAGAATTAATCTTATTTGTATCTCTGTCTTTCTTACATTAAAAGACAAGTTTTACATTGAATTATATCTTATAGCTCAAGGCATTAGAAAATATTCTCCGCTAACCAATCGACTTAAAAACCAACAAAAGTTTCACACAAAAAAAAAAAAAATTCATTAATTTTTGCATTAAAATAATATCTTTAAGATTTTTTGCATTTAATTTTAATTGAAATTTTATTTTTTATTGAAAACTAAGAATATTCATATTTTTTAACTTTCATTTACAACACAGGGACAAGAAAAAAAAAAGTTCGATGTAATATTTCATGAAAATTGAGCCTAACAAAGTGCATATTGACTACACACAAAAAATACAAATTGAAATATATCCCAAAACAAGAAAACACAAGTTTCGTCAGATAAATTTCAATTGCAAAAAAAAATAGAATTATTATTCAAAGAAAAAACGAAAGCAAATCGATATGAACAACTACATTGAGGCTTAGCGAGAATACTAGTGATAGAGGAACAAACTTGTGCGTTTTTTTTAAACCACTTACAAAAAAGAAATCATGAATACAATATGAAACATCGAGATACTCATAATACGACAAATACCAACACATGCACAAAACAAAAAAAAAAGGAAATATTCTGCGCATATAAATGCGTGACGTTCTACGTTTGTTAGATACAAAAGGGAAACTTGGGATGGATTAACACGTAAAAAACAAGAAGATAGTAGAATTAAGGTAGCGTTCTGATCAATGTATTAGTGGGAGATTGGATATTAAATGATATTGGGTTAGAGAGAGATGATTGAATTGGAGTACGAACTTCTTCATCATCGTTGTCATCAAAACTTGGTATTGATTTCAATTGACTTTGTTGAAAACGATCAGCAACAATTGCAATTAGAGCTGCTCCTTTACCGCTACCATCATCGGATAATGTTAATTTAAACTAAAAAGAAAAAGGAAAAATTTTCATTATATATATATATAGAAAAATTAATTTATAAAAAGTAATCAATAGCAAAAAAATCATCGAAAAACACCTTGTCAAGCTTGTGTGAAATGAGCATAAATATTGACACCAAAAAGAGCAGTTTTGTTGTTGATGTTTGTTTTTTTTTTTCAATGTGAATTTTGTTCTCATTAATTATCGTAAAGCTTTATTCTTTTTACTATCATATTACTTTTCCTCTTTAGCGGCTGCAATTGCTGTCGCTGCCGTTAAAGCTGCACCCATGCTCGAGCCATCAAAGGATAATTGTAGAGAAAACTGAAATTTGTTTTTGTTTGTTAAAGTTTTTCAATGAATTAGCAGCAACTTATGTATACATATTCTCTTATTGATTTACTTTTTTTTTTCTAATGAATATTAACTATTTAACTTACTTTGATATTTTTATTGACGAGATTTTTCATACATTTTTCCATATTTCGTTTAAATCTTGGATGATATCGATAGAGTGAACCGTCAACACCAACCGTTACGTTTGGTTTGTTGATTCGATTGATTATTACGGCGAGACCTAAATTGAATATACGATAGGATAGTTTTTAAGATAAATAAAAAACTTTTCAGTAAAAATATTTTGATTTTAAATTTTGGAGTGAATGATAACACGATAGGTTGCGTCGAGAAACCTCATAAAAAAATGGTAGAAACTTAAAAGGAATAGTAGAACACTTATATTCAGTAAGCGAGTGTTCGTAGTCAGCTAGATTCATCAAAATCTTTTTAAGTTCCTAACGATTTTTTTAGATCGGAATCGATACTTTTTTCTGTGAACTATTGTTCGACATTTACAGAACTATGTACTAAAGTCTTTGACATGAGTCTTATTCAAAAAAATGTCTGATTTCATGCATTCGACATTAACACTTTCATTAATTGACATGAGAAGCAATAGAATGTAGATCTTTACGGAAATATCGAGAGCTGAGCAATTACCGGTTTTCTTAAGTACGAGTACTGACTGTTTGGACTATGAGTATGTACGCGAGTATGACCTGTAGATGCTGAGTACTAACTACTCTGACCGCCAATACGCGTACGAGTATGACCCCCCTTTATTATGAGCTCTGACAGTTCGGCTCATAAGTACGCGTACGAATATGACCCTTGGCGTACGAGTATGGCGTCCCAGGTATGAGTATGTACTCGTACTTCCTCAACTCTGCGAGTGTCTTATGGGTACTGATTATATCTTAAAGTGCAGGCGTGTGTGTTTGATAAAGCATATTATATTCGAGTGTGATTCTGAATTTTCTTTGATTGATTTTAGATTCAAAGTACAATGCATTAGATAGGTTTCAATAAGATACTTACATGCACCAGCTAGTTTAGCTGCTCGTTTGGATACATTTTTGCAAATATGTTGTATAATAGCACAATCATCGAATGTTGGATTTCTAATACCCATATCTTCAAGAACACGTCTTGTGTTGGCAAATGCAATTCCTTCATCAGTTTCGACAGTACTAACAAATTTCGTATAAAAACCACCACGTGTAAATAATGGTGTACGATAATCACCATAACCATCACGTTGACCAATAAATAATAAATCTTGTTGCATTAAATCAAGTATAATTAAACGAACAATTTCACCCATATACATTCCACTAATCATTTTTTCAAATCTAAAAAAAAAGAAAAAAATTAATTTTACACTTTAACAATAGTTTATTTTTTTTGTTTTTCATTTACATTTGTTTGCTAGGATTGACTGATGATAAATCAACTTCTTCGTCATATTTCGTTCGAATATGATTCAAACGATTATTATTTCCAAATGCTCCCCATTCCATATTAATAATGACTTGTTTTGGTTCATTATAGTCTCCATCCCACGTACCGACACGATCTAATTTTTCCATATAACACGCATTTGTACCGGTCCCTAAAATAAGACCGATTGCTGTATTGGGATCTTTATATGCACATGCCATTAATGTCCCAACAGTGTCATTAACCAAAGCAACACATTGTACATTAAGACCCTAAAATAAACAACAAAACATTCGTAGAAGAATTTTTCCTTGTTTTTGTTTTTGTTTTTCTTATTCAATCGTTACTTTTTCATCAATAGCTGTTTGTAACATGTTAACAACATCTTCATTGACAACACCGGAACATGTAAAACCTTTTGTCCAAGATGTTAATCGTGCTGATGCAAGACCTTCTTGCTTACAAGGAAAAGAAAATGTAAATCCTATAGGAAAATAAAAACAAAAGAAATTTGATTAATGATTAAAAATAATTTGAATTAGAAATTTACCTAATGGGTAACGAACACCTGGTTTAACAAGATTTTCTTTTTTCATAAAATCCAAAAGACAATCAGCAAGATGACGAAAAAGCTAAAAAAAATAATTAAATTCAATTATTTTTCTTGTAAATCTATGAATACTTACATTGACACCAGCACCAAGCATAATTGATTGTGGTATGACGAAGATTTTTGATGTTAACTCAACTCGTGATTGTGGCAATAAAGTGACAAGTAAAACACGAAAATTAGTTCCACCTAAATCTAATGCAAGAACTTGTCCAGTTTCTGTACCGTCGGCAATATTTCGAACATAAGTAGGAAACATTTTAACATCCGCATTTTTATGGGTTGCTGGGGAAAGCCCTGCATCCATTTCTTGTTCAAGTAATTGCATTATTTGACGAAGTTTCTCATCATCAAGACGTAATGATTCAAGCACTTTTTCAATCTATGAAATATAATATATATAGTAATGAAACATAGTGACATCTATTAAATTACATGACGAACTAAGAAATACTATCGTTACTCCATATGACGGCTGATAATAAGGTTAAAGAAAATCGTCACGTCTGTAATGGTATGTGAAATTTATAAAAAACGGAACGATGATTAGTACTGATTTTTTGCCATAAATGTATATATGCGTTCTAGGTCATGTACCTTGTTTTACTTTTCTTTAATGCACTTTTTTTCTTTGTGAAAAAAATTGATAAGAATTGTAAACTATGTATCCATAACAACATTTACTTTGTAATCTCACAACTGTTATTTACTCATTAAGTCATTGAATACGAAAAAAAAAGAAACTACGAAATAAATTCTGGATTTTATGATTATCAATTATTTTGTAATAGTTTCGATTTTGAAAACAAAAGTTTCTATGATTATATTGTTGTTTCAGTTTTTTTTTCCTCTTCTTTCATAGAAATTTGATCTCAACCATTATTAGTAGTTATCAATATTAATCGGAAATTTTTCCTTTCTTTTTGTGATAGAGGAAAAAAACAATTCTTCTTTGTTGGTACATAATTCTTCTTAGAGAAACTGTTTATGGTGTAAATAAACATATTTCACAAGAGAGTAGCCAGATTTCTATTAGATCTTATCATTATTTCCGAGCATTTCCTTTTTTTCCTATTTTTTTTCTTCGTCAGGTTCTTCATATATATATATAGACATATATATTATTCACAAGTCTGATTTTGCCGTTCTGAACGGGGGTGTGTCATATAACATATTGCGTAGGACAAATGATATTTTCTTCGCAATTGACTATTGCTTTTTCTTTTTCTTAGGCAAGATGACGTTTTATTGCATCATGCAGTTTTTTTCATGCTGCTCTTTCAAGAAAAAATAGCATAGTCTATTGTGAATACATTATTTTTATTACAATAGAATAATAAATATTAAATTTCATTTGTTTTTACCTGATCATTTGATTCCGGGTGACGACTATGAAGGGCATAGGTCTGATTAGGTCCGGCTGCTCTGTAGCCTATATAAGCTGCTAAACCAACCACAGAACAAGCAGCAAGACTAAAAAATCCAATACGTAATGTAGATGCCAATGACTCATCTTTAATTATTGTAGCAATTGAAGACATGATTTTGAATAATTTGATATAATTATTAAAAATTTAATGCATTACCAATTATCTCAATATGTAAAAAACACGTGATGTTCGTGTAAATACGTAGTACAATTTCTATTAAGATTATAGGAATTTTTAATAGGAATAGTAAAATCCAATTGTTAAAAATAGAAACGTGTCGCCAATTGACGAAAGTAAATAAAAACGAATTTTTTTTTGTTTGTTTCGTACAACTAGGCAAAAAGAGAACGATCAAATAGACGCAAAACCGTTTAACCGAATAAAATTTATACTTTTGTTTATTTTTTTTCTTGTTCTCTTATTGTTGCACAGTAGCTGGGGTAGATGCAGTTGTATGTTGTTGAATAAATATGTTCGAGCGTGTGTATGTTGAGAAGTTGTCTGTCGCCTTGCGCGTTTTTATACAAAGTAGTCTCTGACGAATCATAAAACATAATATTCTTTTTTCCTTCTTTTTTTTTTCTTTTACCCTATTCTGTGTTATTTTCTTTCTTGTCGATGATTTTTCTTTTTTCTCCTCTTGTTTTCTATTGCCGGTTGACGTCATCGGGAAGAGATATGGGCTATACTGTTAGATTTTTGCTAGCGAGAAACACGAGAAAAAAAACATAGACAATAATAATTGATGAAGGAGCAACGTCTTAGACATGGGTACATTCGTATTTTGAACTTCGATATTTTTTCATCAGATAATGATTATATGGAAAACTACCAGTCTTATTAGGTTGAGTTCATACTTAATTTGTAATAAACAATTTGCGAAAAAAAACCTGTAGAATACATTAATTATTCATAGAATAAAGAAAAATTAATATATTTCATATTTGAAACTCTTTTTTTTTATTGACTAAAATGTTTAATTTTCAAACAAAATGAATAAAACATGCAAAGATATATTTGAAGAAAAAAAAAAAAAACGAAAAGATAATAGAACAATCATTGTTTATATAATGAGATAGTATATGTCATAGTCAATGTTTTTCTTGTTTGTTAATATCTTTTTCTCATTAACCTATTCTTTCCACAATCGGCCAAATCAACAGGTACACAATCATTATCTCGAGTTGAGTATGCCAGACCGTTATCACATTCCATTACACTATGCCAACCTAAAAAAGAAGCATTATTTATCATCAACAAGATAAACATTTTTGTTTCTAATACCTGTTGCACAATAATGAAATTTATGACAATGTACAGGATCTGGATAGTAACCATTAGGACGACTAGCACATGTAAAAATTGATGGTAATCCAAATGGTAATGTTGTTGTTGTTGTTGTTGTTGTTGTTGTGGTTGTTGTTGTCGTTGTTGTTTTACTAACAGAACGAGTAAATAATTGAAGCCATTTTTTGTTTGAAGATCCTTTTAAATAAATGTCCTTGATGTACGAAAAAAAAAATCTTTTAATAACAAAGTCTCATACCTGAAAGTGGCTCAAATGATTTTGAACTTTGGCAACCAACAAGGTGAGCTGCCATACATAAACGTAATAAAGACTCCCACGCAAGACCTGGTGCACACATTGATCGATAATCACGTCCATCGACACATACATGATAAATGCGGCAATCATTAACGTCACCAAAATAACCGTCAGCTGTTAATGAGGAAACTCAATTAACATGAATAAAAATGAAAAAGAAAACTCTTTTTTTTTTGCATACCAACACAACTAAATCGAGTTGAACGTTGTCTTTTAATTATTTCTGATGAACCTGGATTAGTTGATATAGTATCTGCAGTTGTAGCTAAATAATTTGATTATATTATAATTAAAAATTTATATTATTTTCATTTATGTATTATTTCGCTTTTATTTAAATCGTTTATTTTTGAACATTTAAACTTAACTACATAGGAAATCCAGTGCATACTCTATGACTCGAAAAATTTCAATCACCTAATGTAAAAACGTAATAAAAATAATACATAAAGGTGTACTGTCTGAATTTTCGTTCGTATTCTCAGAGTGCAAAAAGTATAAGCATCATTTTATTCGTCGTTTGAAATAGTTATCAAACATAATGAAGAAATATCTCAATGAATTTTATTCTCAATACTTTCTATAAAGATCATACTAATTAATATAGTAACCAGTTCAACATTAGTCAACTAACGAAGGAAGTCTTCCAAGTGTGAAATCAATTATGAATCCAGACAATGTGCATTAGGTAAATAAGAATGAGTCATGAATATACTGAAAAGAGCTTGTGTGCTTAGTTTCTTTGTTATCGAAATAATGCACTTTTACCGTAAGTTTTAAATAAAAGTCATGATTATCTTCAAAACAGATCATTTTCAAATTTTTTCTTGAAATTTTACATTGAGACATACTTTAAGATGATTAATTTTTTTGTTTTGAATATTTCAGATCTTGTTGCTATTCATATTCTAAGATACAACTATGATAATAGAGTGTCTTTGATGTCTTTTGTATAAATCAGCAAATTTGATGTTCTTATGTTAGTATAAGAGTAAATTGAAAGATCTGAAATTATTCTCATTAAGTTCTGTCTCTATGTAAAATTTTAAGTAGAGATTCGAAAATTAATTTTCCCGAGGAGCACTACAGCATTTATTCAAAAAACTGTGTAAAAATTTCGTATTTCTATAGTAATCAATTCTTTTTAGAGTATTCATAGCTCATTTAGATCTGACCATAATGTATATAGTCTTGACTAACAAGAGATTGAACAATTGAAGTTCAGGTTCCACGTGGTATGGGATAGTCCCATCTCATAGGATGAGACATGAGTCTTTTGGTAAAAGTCTAATACAATGGGATGAGACAGAAATTTCGGAAAAATTATCCCATATCATTCAATGAGACATTTGTCAAAAGACTCACTTCTTATCTCCTCTCATGTGACAATTATCCGCTTATACAAAGATTTACTATAAGGAAAGATACAATTGTTTTTATTATATAAACTGCATTCTTATCAATCTCAATAGAGTTCGCGGAAAATAAAATTTTATTCTATTCTCTAAAAAGTTCTGCCTTGTATTTATTCGAGCACAGTAAAATGAATATATAAATGAAAGATGCAATTTTTTCTATTGCAATAGTTAGAAGCAATGAGTTTATTTAGACTTTAGTAATAATTGATAAATGTCTTTTGAAGAATAATTGTCGTCTATAATTGTATGTCAATCTGTTCCATCAGGTACAAGAAGGCGTGTGGGTGTGAGAGAAAAAAACCCGACCCCCCCCCCTGCCCCCACAGAGAAGAACAGAAGAAAAACACGCATCGAAGATAATATTATCTGATTTTATCGTCACATATCATAACAAACAGCTGTTATCGGAATTTTATTATTATGATATTTGCTCAAGCATGATCAAGTGTCATATAAAAATAGATCATTGTATTTATTACCATTAAATATAAACTGAAGGTTTTCCAACCTTTCTTTAGAAAAATAAAGTATCTTTGCAACTACTTGTAGATTGCTCTTAATAGTATAATATTGTCTATATTTAATCAAATAGATAAATATATTACTAAATTTCAATGTTTTTTTTTTGAAAACAATGTGACGAATATGATGTCCCATAGAACGCGAGATTTTCAAACCTACGCAGAGTCCTATTTGGAGAACTTCCTTCACAAGAGACAATTACTTATTTTATCCGACATTATTGATAGAACTGATACTGATTACTGACATGTCTTATTTATTTTCTTGCGCTTATTATCTCATAGAGAATATTCTACACATGTCCAGTTCGCAATCATCAAACATAATTAATTAATTCTTTCAATAAACTAGACTTACTTGATGCAATAGTTGTTGTTGATGTTACTGGAGGTTCAGGTTTAGCTCCATGACATTCAGCTTGTTCATATGGTTTACATGTTTTTGTAATACGATCAAATAATAATTTATTTGAACATGTTCGTTGTTCTAAATGACCATCAACACATTGAATATATTGTGAACAAACAACTGGATCAGCAAAACGCATTTGACTTGAATAATTTGGTGGACATGAATTTTGACCTTATGAAATCATTCATTTGAAGAAAATTTTATAACAAAAAAAAAACATATACTTACATTCAGTTACTTCATGAGGCCAAGCACAACTTTCCAAACCTTTGAATTATATTTTTTTATATAAACTTACATATAATTATTTTCGAAACAATTCTTACGTGAACTCCAAATAAGGCCAGATGAACAAAGTAATGCATCACTTTGAGTTTTCACTCCTAAATAAATTAAATTTATAAGAAAAAAAAAACAATTCTCTTTTTTTCTCTCTTTCATTACCATCACAATAATGAAATACCGAACAATCATAAGGATCAGGAAAATAACCTGAACTACCCGATGTACATTCAATTGGTGAATATGGTGGTGCAATTTGTCCTTCACCTTAAGAAAAATTATTAAGATCAAAATAAATTAATGTATATATATATATATATTCTAACATTCAGCATCTTTTGGCCATAAACATCCATTAGCACTTGATGAAAAATGTAATCCAGCATTACAACGATGTGTTGATTGAAGTACTCCCATTACACACCAATGATATATTGAACATGAACTTGGATCAGCAAAAAATCCTGTTGCACTAGGTCGACATGTATAATTACCTCTGATCAATTGAGAATTTGTTGATGTTGTTGTTGTTGTTGATATTGTTGTTGTAACTAAATTAACAAATGATATATTTTAATTTATTTTTGATCAATTAGTACCTTCATCATAACCCCATTTTTTTCGACCACCAACACATGGTGTAATACTTTGTAAACTACAACCAATTTTAGTTTCATCCCAAAGCATTCCATCTTTACACCAACGAACTGATTGTGTACCACCATAACAAACATGAAATTTACGACAATCATCACGATCAGCATAAAATCCATCTTCTAAATTTTTGAATATACTAGAAAAAATAAATAATAAGATCAATTTAATTTTTTACCAGCACAACGTGAACCAACTTCAGACATATATTGAATTCCAGATAATTTATCATCATTAGCATCTATTTCAAAAGAGAAGATAAAAGTTTTAATAAATATATAAAAATATTTGACTTACATTTAAGAAGTTTTTTCGGTTTTGATGTTGTATTTTGTGTTGATGAATATATATCATTCTTCGTTTTATTATCATATGTTGTAAAACTTCCATTAATTGTATATAAAATCAGTGTCACTATACGATTGATTATAATATAGATAAAAATATTATTAAAAGAAAAACTTACTAAATAGAATAGAATATCTAATGGTCATCTTCAATGTGTTCTTGTTCACTTTGAATTGTATTCAATGAAAGATGATGTTCACTTGAAATATGTGAATATATTGAATGAACTGATTCTAGTAAACGCATTGACAATTTATTGGTCGCAATCGACACGTAAGAAGACAACATTAGGCACGTTTCATTCAATTAACAATTGTCGTTCTCATAGATAGAAGATTAAAAGCAGACGAAATTGTTTCTTATTGGCTCATATTGATAAGCTTTAAACAACACGAGACACGATTAACAGTTACTAAAATTTGTTACGTCGACATGTTGTTTCAATATGTATTGCATGAATTCATAACACAAACAAGTGGATTATATGACATTTATTCTCGTCATTTGTCAAATATTCGGATAGACACTTTCTAATCCATAATAGTACTGTTTTTCACTTATATAAAATTGTTTTCGCTGGTGATTTGTATATACGAACAAAACAAATGTAAACAATTTTTTCATTCTCATTAATTATTACCTCATCAAGAAATTATTATCAGAATACTAGTGAGTAGTAGATCTTTCTAAAAAAATATCTTTTAATATTAAAAGATGTTTTTTATACTAAAACAAAGATAAATTAACACACTATGCAAAAGAATTGTTGAAAACAATCATGTGCTAAATATTCTTCGATCTTGTTGATCTCCGAAGACAGTGGGTTTCATCGTAATCGTACATGAAGACTTGCAAAAACTTTTTTCTTTTGCTTTGATTGTTTACCTACACCAAGTCATTCAATATCGATCTCGAATCTATTTTATTCATATAAGATATATTCAGTAAGTTTAATAATAGACGGATGCTTGATTCATATACGACTATTGAATGCATGACACTGTCCTTCAGTGACGTTACTTGATTCTGCCAAGTCTTGCAAAAACTGACTCGTAGAGATTCTACAATTGCAAACTAAATTTCGATCTTTAAAAAGAAATATACGTTCTTTTTTCGTCATTCGATACTAAATTTACGAATATTCTTGAGAGCTCTTCACCATTTCAATTTTATTCATTTCTTAAGATTATTATGCGACGTTGTTCAAGTTAATAACAACTACCAACACAATTGATCAATCGAAAAAAAAAGAAAATCAATTGAGGAAAAATGACACTTAATTTCTGAACCTGGATCCGGTCACATCCATATCTATGTTTATCTTTTTCACCAATACCTGGCACCCTCTGTGTACATGAGCAAGGAAAGGATCAAGGTTTTAACTATTTATTGGCTACTCTTAGCAAAAATATCAATATACAGTTATTTCTTGTTGTTGATTTTTCTATTACTCGATACTTAATAAATTAAAAGTTTTCGCTTAGTTAAAAAGACCATTTTGTTAACAAAAAAGAATATTAACAGTTCACTGGTAAACAAAAATTGTCAAACCAAACTAAAATCTTCTGCTATGTGAAATAGTCTTACCAAGAAAGATTTTCAAGTAATAAATTGCTTTTAAGTTGAGACAAAATTTAATCGTTAGAACCTAGTCAATAAATATATCCTCTTGAGTGATTCGAATCGCCTAGTCGTTGCTGTTGAAACATCGAATTTTCAGTAGATTTTTTTCTGTTGGACACTTGTTTTCAACCCATATCATACTTTAGAATTTTGATCAGGAACTTCGCTCATATAAACTCACCGATTAGATTAGCTTGCACAGAAGTTATAAAATTTTTCTGACAAGCTAATCGACTCGGTGTATTAATCTGTTCAAAGTTTCAGGTTAAAATTCAAAGTTATGCTATCGTTTGAAAATTGGGATTGAACAGGAAGAATACACTAAAAATTCGATATCTCAGAAACAAAGATCTAATAGCTCGAACCATTCTAGGATATTTACTTATTCACTAGGCCCTCTCAATTTAAAATATTTTCAACTCGAAAACAATTGATTACTTAGGAATCTTTCTTCGTTTAGTTGTATTTATATAAACGAGATCAAGCAAGAATATCTTCTATACAATCAATCTAAAGATTTACTTACTTTATAAATCATCTTCTGTTACCAATCCACTATCTAAGCATATTCATAGTTATCAAAATTAAAAGAAAACGACAGTTTCTAATGCTAAAATAAGTATCAATCAGTTTTATACATCTCTACAAACTGAACTCAGGTCCTCCAGATCGAGTTCAACAATAAATTAAAGTTGCAATATTTGACTGACGACCATTCAAAACAACTAATAATATCGGTTTTAAAATCTTACACAACAAATTATTAATTTTGAATAATACTTACCTTAAAGGTGCAACGAGTCTACTTTTTTTCTGAACTAGACTCGGGTTCATAGCTTTCTACACTGAATGAAATTAAAAGTAGGATTACCATTTCTTTTCTGTATCACTTCATCGAAATCAACAAGCTATCAATCAGATAACTTATCTCGAAGAATGGTCTTAGCTGAAGTCTGATATTTTTATTAGAATTTATCGTAACGATTCTTTAATCATATTTCATATTCGATTATACTAAAACAAATTTTTATTTAAAATACTTTTCAGTAAATATATTAATATGTATTTTACAAATTTCTATTACTCTCATTGATTAATAAAAATACTAATTAACTAAACATCGAAAAAAAAAACTAAACCGTTAAAAAGAACAAATGCACCTCTGCTCTAAACGAACCATCACTTTTTTCATCGCCATCATCATTCGACAACTTCAACTATATTTCGTATGAAAAAAAAACTCAATAGTGCGTAACATTCCACCTTTTTTCACTTACATGATATTAAAAAACCCATGCTAAGAAGGCTCAATATAAAACGAAAAATGCTTTTACGATCATCTGTAATTCGTCGTACTGTTTATTATTTATTTATAATAATCACAATTACTTATATTGTATATAAAACATATGATTATTATGATGAAGGTTATTTCAACATTTTTGATTCAAGTGATCCTATTAAACGATACAATAAATATACATATAAAACCGGTGATTTGATTCCAGTATCGGGCTATAAAATTCTTCAATCTGTTGCAGATCCTTCATCACAAAAGATTCATGAATTATATACTCATCTTGATGGATACAATGAATTAAAAGATTATTTTATATTTTTTCCCGAAGAATTTTATCATATTACATTAACTAAATTGATAAATAATCTATCTATAACAGATAAACAATTAGAAAAATTAGAAAATGAACAAGATTTACTTGATAAAAATAATACACAAACAAAATGTATTGCTAAAAAATTACGATTTATTGATAAAAATGAAATACGTTTAGAAGTTGAATTAAAAAATGATTATATTGATGGTTATCTTAAACATTTGCGAAAACGATGGGATGAAAATTTTTCTGAATTAATTACAGAACATTGTACATCATTTTATATACCATTAGCTTATCAATATAAAGATATACCGAATGAATATCTTTTGAATCGATTCAATGAAACATTAGAACAATGGCATGACATACCATTTGAAATTGAACTTAATTCTATTGACATATGTTCATATGCAAGCTTACTAAATTATGACACTATTCTGGCTGATGTTGACGAAGAAATTTAATATATGTGTTTGTCCTATTCAATAGATAATTAATGTCAAAAGAAAGACGATATAAAAACAGGATTAATTAATTATAGTTTTGAAAAATAAAATGTTTTTCTTTTTTTCAAAGAAATAGATTTCATGTAACATTTAATAAATTTTATATAAAATCAAAGCTTATAGTTAACCTCAAGTAAAATTAAATTGTATTTTTCAATTAATTTACTGACTGTATATTGTGTATATTGATTCTTCCTTAAATTAAAAAATGAATTTTAGTTTTATGTAAAATTCATTATTTATATTCTTAGTTATTTCTACTTGAGTTAATTGAAAACATAAATTTTTAATAATTTCTATCATTAAAAAATTAAAATTAGTTTCGTCTTTTTTAATTGTACAATCGTAATATTGGTCTCAAAGACACATCTTCTTAACTATACTAATAAGCTTTCGATCTGAAATATTTTTGTTAACTGAGTTCGAATCTAAAATTTGGCTATTTATCGGATTCGGATGCAGATCTAAAAATTTTAAATTCGGTGCATTCTAGTCATGTGCAAAATGTTTTGACAGCGCTAGTTATCGAATACAAAAACTGAGAAAAAAGTATTTCGTATTTTTAGGACATCTATCCGGTTTCGATTAGAAAACTCGATTGAGACTATCAACCTATGGTTTGATTGAGGTTAGGGTGTGAGTCCGAAAATTTTGGATCCCAACGGGTTCTAATTCTTATTTAAGGTATATCGTTAAACAATAAATTCTTAAAATTTGTGTTTAGTTTTGAACAATTGATCTATGACGTCATATTACATTATTATGGATGAAACTTTGCACAATATTTTTTTCAACGAATTATTTGGTCAAAGACCTCATATTTTCAGTTTTAAACATAATTTCAATATGCTTTTGTGAAATATGGTCTAAAAGACGTGTTAGACTATTCAGATAGCAATCAGGGCCTCGTCTTCCTGAAGGCGTAACGGATACTGTAATATTATTTCACTCTTGTCGGAGACTATGTAAGACATACTCAGGAGACTGAAATATAATGCATGATTAGTATGAAAGATAGTTAAATATAACGTTGTTTTACGTTGTCCTTCTTTCAAAGTGACTGTAACGTATAACAATTATACTTAATATACGTTACAAATAGAGAGTAATTGACACATCAAAAGTTATACTAATGGATACCTTCATTTTCAATGTCAATAACTACATTATTTTCAGTTTAATCCGTAGATATTATGCTAGCAGATTTTATCTACTAATTGAAGTATTGGACTGATGCTATAGCATTTCTAATTGCAAATAACCCTTCGTTCATTATAAAATATCATTTTTCAATGACAAATATATTCATTCTTCTTTCGTTTTTTTTTTCATTCAATCAAAAGGCTTTCGGCATTCATCAAGAACTGTATCATTTACTTTGCTTAATCTTTATGTGTTTGACACGAAAGTCATCACATATTTATTTGTTTGTCACATGAATGTATGATAATGTTTTCTTTACTTCTCCTTTCGAAAAAGTGAAATAATAATATTTGTAAGAGCAAAAACGAAACGCAAGCGCATCATTAATGCAAAAAAAGAATATACAACCGAAAAATAAACTGAATAGTGAGTACGAGAAACAGAGAGAGAGAGAGAGAAAGAGACAAAGAGAATAAAGTTTGAGAAAGAAAAAAAAAAGAAAGAGAGTGTTTTTAGATTCATGCAAATATTGCACACAAAACTGTTCGTTCTCGGAGTGGTGTGCACGACAACGTCTCTTTTCTTTTTTCTTCTTTTTTTCTATTTTGTACATAAACACACACACACACATCAATTTTACAGCAAAGCTAAAACACACATACAGTGACAAAAAAAGGGATTGAACAAAATTAAAGAATGTAAATGAAAAAAAAAAAACATCATCATTTTTGACGTGAATTAGAGCCACGAGTTCCTTCATCATCATCATCATCAACACCACCATAAGACTAGATAGATAAAAATAAAAGAGTTTAGTATAATTTAATAAATATATACTTGATTTGTTTCATCCATTATCATATCTTCATCGTCACTCATTACACGAGTTTTACGACGACTACTTGTAGTATTATTTCCATTACCAGATGTACGTGATTGAGTTTGAGATTTCTTAAATTAAAAAGTGTATTAGATTATTTCTTTTCTTTTAAAATGAAAAAGTCGTTTTCTATGATAGTTTGATCAATTTGAGAAAAAGAAAAACATAAGCAAATGTTTAGTCATGTAATTATGAATTTATTCGCAATGATATACAAATAAAAACTTAAGTGTCTTTTTCTTATTTATTGAAGTTTCATGCTCTCGAATAACTTATATTTTTAATCTGAATAGCTAATCATCGATGAACAATAGTGACTTTTAGATTGATGATTGTTTTGATATTTTAATCATTATTCCAACTGTTCCGCATCATATTATTTAAAAAGCTACAGTAGAGTATCTTTTTTTTTACCTTTTTTACATTGGTCTCTTTTTTCACGCGTTTTTTCAGTGGTTCTATAATAAAATATATCATTTTTATGGATTAAAAACTTAAAATTAATTATAATACCATCATCATCTGATTCTTCTTCTGAATTAGAACTAATTGGAATATCTCCTTTTTCAATTCGTTCACGTGCATTTGTAAATACAGATTGAAGAATAATTGAATCTTCATAAATCTAAATAATAATATTATGTTTATTTTTATGATTTAATAAAAGCCCAAACAAAAAAAAAATTAATAAAATTTTACAGTTGAATTTTCCATATTAAATTCTTGTGCATTTTTACATAAGAGCATAACATCAGCTTCAAGTTCATCTAAATTTCGATAACGATGTTCAGCAAGTTTTTTCTATAAAAATAAAGTCTAATAAACAAAAAAAAAACTCAAAAGAAGATTTTTCTGAATACCTTAATTTTATTAAAGTCAACTGGATTTTTAATTGTTTCATAATATTCAGGTAGTTCTTTTTGTGTTGGTAAACGCATAAATGGTTTACTTAATATTCGGTTATCATCACTATAAAAGAAATATTTAAAAAAAAAAGAATCATATATTAATAATAAAAACTTTACTTGTCTCGATATTTAATTACAAATTCTAATAATGTTGTCATTTGTTTAAATAATTTAGCTGGTATTGGATCATCCGAATATTTTTTATTTGTTTCTTTTAATTTACGTTTTCCAGCACGTCTACCAACTTTTGAAGTAATTACATCCATATCATTATCTCCTTGTTTACTATCGTTTTCATCATGTTGACCATCATCGTCATCATCAAAATCAATATTATTAGCAACACGTCGTTTACGTCGACGTTTTTTATCTTGTTCAGGTGTACCTAATGTTCCATCTTCAATTGCCTAAATAGTTTAAAAAAAAAAAACGAAAATTATAATCAAGAATGTGTACGTAATAAAGAGTATTCTTGTCTTTCAGTTATCTAGTATATATGAGAATCTGCTTAGTAGCAGATTCAATAGCTCGATAGCTTCTCGTTAGTTATAGGTTTTGATAGAAGACGAAACTGACACAGAATTCTTGAAATCTTCATACGCACTAACTAACCACATGAACAGGTGTACGTCACAATCTGATCAGTATTCTATAGGACTAGTCACCCGAGACAAATAACTGTTAATAATTTGTCGAGAGTCATTCCATGACTGATAGTACTGAGAGTTTCTGAAAGGTGTCTTTGGAACCAATGATTTATTGACAGAACATCAAATATCTCATGAAAGTATTTTTACAAATCTCTTTCTTTTAGTTTTCGAAGTAGCTAATATTTATTATTTTATTGAAAAATTGATTTCTTCAGAAGATAAAACAAAAAGAGGAAAACTTTGAAAATGGTATAGATGTTGATAGTCTCTTCATCCGCACCCCTAAATGACTCTAGCTATGAGTAAAAATATTTTCGGTTCCATTCTTTTGGAAACCGCAAGACTATACTGAGGCGAGAGCTTTTCTAAGTGTAAAATAGCTTTTGGGTCGGTACTAGGCGCATCATGTAGGTTCGCATGAACCATGAACAACATTAAAGAGTTTGAACTAATCGCTGATTGCTGCCATGGTTTCTCTCAGGAACATAAGGAAAGTTGATTTTCGAATTTCGATTTGAAACTTTCCAGAGTAACAAGTCTCAACGAGAATAGTTTATCGTAAGAAACGGCTATGGTACACTTTCCTTGTGTTGCTGAGAGAGAATACGGTATTCTGATAAAGATACAATGTCTCGGTAGTAATATGCTATTAGTGCAAACTCTTGTCAAAGTATGTATAGCTCATAAAGATTTACATGACGTGCGTAGTTTTGACTTGAAAGGGATTGATCAGTTAGAGAATCTTTTGTCGTTAGTGATTCAATTCTGATAAAAAAAAACGGGGGTTTTATGGACGAATTTCAAAAAACAGTATGACAGAGCATCACAATTTAAAAATTCATTTACCCTAAGCCATTCTTTATCTGTTAATGAATCTGAATAATCGACTTCTTTTCTTTGTCGAGTACCGCGTCCAAATAGATCTAATGTTTCTTGATCTAGTATAGCTTTTTCTAATTCTTTTGGATCTTTTGTTAACCATGCAGGTAATTCAGACAGTTCAAGAAGTCGTGGTTTACGATTAGGCATTCTAGCTTCAGCATGTCTTCGTTCACGATCCATTCTCTAAAAAACAAAAAGAAAAGAAAATTCAACAAAAACGAAAAAAAGCAAAAACAAAACAACTAACATTAAATAAATTATATTCATCTTCAGTTCGTGCAATCATTTGATTAATAACTTCATCATCTGGAACTTCATCTTCTTCTTCATCACCTTCTTCTGTTTCTTGTAGAAGTATTTGTTGTAAAAACTGTCTTCGTTCATTTCCTGTTGATTTATTATTAAACATTCCAGCTTGAATAACTTTTTCATCAACATTTAATTTATAACGAGCAGCTGCTAAGATTTTTTCTTCAACACTATTTACTGTCATTA